GATAACTGTTGTTCCCTCATTCCACAGATGGGAAAAGTTCCATGATAAACCAATAAGGATCTTTTACACATTGCACAAGGAAAGATACCAGAAGAGGCAGACTTGACTCCTAGCAGACATCCATAATCGTTTATTCAAAACCTCTGAAGCCAGATGTAAAATAATAATGTTTTATTGTTTCAGAAAGACAGTGTGGTTTATATCCTATATGCTGCAAAACACCCACAGGGTCTGGGGAAGAATCCCATTCTTAAATATAGTGTATTAATGTTTCTGCAGCAAATTACAAAAATTCACAAATGTGATAAATAAAAATTTTACAGGGATTCACGACAGCTCAAGTGCAGATTCACTGCCAAATTAGTTAGCTGAAAACTTATGAAAAAATGTTGGTTTTCAAAACTTCTTTAATTTTGTATGTGGGCTAAAGGATTGTGGTTCTTTGCTCCATCTGGTAGTGATCTCTTCCTTTAGATTGGAAGAGACAGAAAAGATCATCATCTTTTCTTTATGTTCCAAATCCTTCTACAATGTAAGAAGTCATGAGATTTACAACTCTCTTCATTATAGATTACTGGTTGTGTTTCCTTTTATTTCCTAGATCCTGCGAATATTGGAAACCAGTCTACTCGGGGATGGCCAATAAGGAAAGACTTAAGAGCAATGAATAACTCTTGATGTAACAAATGGCTTTCTTTGCTACAAAAGCTTCATTCAAATTTTTTGTTATATCCTTTAAAATAAAAAAAGTAATTTGTTGTGATTTTAGATGATGCATCTTATACATTTTGCATTAGGTGGGCTGGCCTAATTCATATAAAAGTTCAATAGCACAAGCACCATACAAGTTTATTGTTCACTCACATAAAAGATGAAGTAGTTCTTAGGGTGGAGGGGTGCTCTGCTGCACACAATCACTGAGGGTTCAACTGATGGAGGCTCTGACATCTTCAAAATGTTGTTTCCATGGTTCCCCAAATAAGAAGTGTGTGCAGAAGAAGTGTATGCTGACCAATGGAAAGGGTGCAAAGTATAAGAAATGGTGACAAAGGGGAGTGCCTTCCATGGCAAATTTATCCCCATCCTTGGGGATGGTTCCTGAAGCAACTTTGATCAACAGGCCAGATGGAGCCACAGGGTAGCCTAGTGGTAGGAATATTCATACTCCTGCCTACACGTGCTTTCCTTTTCCAATTTTTCTTTTAAAGAATTTCATGCTGGTTGGGTTCCTATAATGCAGATTGAGACTGTTATGGAATTTCATTCTTTCTGCATGAAAGAAATGATCAGCAATGTTGACTGTTCAGAATTGAATAACGGAGAAGAGCCTCAGGAAACTTCTAGCTCAGCCCTAATAAATGGGTCAGGGAAAGAAGGCTAGGATGCCAAGCGTTGGCCTGCACATATCAGGAATTAAAAACTATTGCATTTTATTCTGAGCACCTTGACTACCTTGTATCCAGTTAACCCTGGGAACTGATTTCAACGTTTTACAAAATAGAAGGAGACAGGAAATTATTATAAGCTCATGTTTAACAGGATAAATCCTATAGACTAAATGTAAATAATTATATATCTCTAAGGTAGAAAATACAATTATGAAAATGAAGACGTCTTTTTTTAATACTTACTGTCATGTTTGCTTATACTAAGATCTTAGATTTCTATAGTGATATGTTGATTGACACTCATAATATTTGTAATTGTAGAAGCCTCAAAATAATACGAGCCCTGCTGTGTAGTTATAGANGTACCATCATATGTATTAATGCTAAAGAGTTGAAATAATATACTTATTTTCCAGCAACATACTTTATATTCTATAGAGCATAGTAAGCACAGTATTCCTGTATTTGTTGATATTATCATTAGTCCCCAACTTAGAAAGTCTTCAAAGAATAATCTGAGCTGTTATTTAATTGTTGATGGAGAAATAGCTTTCAGACCAATCGCTCTCAAACCCAAATGACAATTAAATCATTTGCTTACATTGTAGTTTTTCACAGGGCTTTTGTAAATAAAGGTTCATTTTGCTTTCCCAGAAACCTTAACAGAGAGATAAGGTAACTAGGTCATCCCAGCTTTATAGATGAAGAAACTGACCATAGTAAAGTTTAGAGGTCATTTACAAATTCACATGGAGAGTAAAAGGGAGAGCCGATAGTGTTAGGGCCAAACAAGTAGCCACCCCTCACTGAAAAACTTTTGTTTTCTTTTCTACAGACATTTTAAATCTCCTTCTCTGTAGTTCCTTAGTTCCTGAGCCCCTGACTTTGATTACTCTTCTAATC